TGACAGGATGGTACTCCTACCTTTGGCTCCCATTCATACCCTTGATTGTAAGTAGTCCAAATTCTATAGCCTCGATTGTAATTATGTGTTTTTTTATTCTATCATTTAAAAAAAAAATAGTAAATACACTGTTTGACTTAAATTTGTATATATAAATATAACACCTACCAATATTGCAAGGAGTTAATTATATTGTATTATATATAACATCCATAATATTTTAAGGTAGAAAAAATTACAGTTTTGATCCTCTAATTTAAGGTGATTCCCATTATTGCCCATTAACTTATTGGGGCTTCAAAACTGGTCCAATAAAATTTGAATTTTATCCAATTTGGTTCAGTTCCAATCCCGTTCGCTGGAATCTAACCGTTATTAGTCCGAAATTGGTCTAATGACTCTTAAATTTCATTGGACCAATTTCGGACCCCAATAAAATAACTTCGAAAAAATGGAAAACACCTTAAGTTAGTGGACTGAAACTGTAATTTTTTCCTATAAAATGTGCTACAATTTATTTCAATTTCTTTAGAAAAAAAAAAATGATAATAAATTGAATTAAACTCATGAAATTTGTTGGTCTATACAGATAATTTTGCTAGTAGGAACCAAGCTACAAGTGATAATAACAAAAATGGGGCTGAAAATTCAAGAGCGAGGCGAAGTTGTAAAGGGCGTGCCCGTAGTTCAACCTGGAGACTATCTTTTCTGGTTTAATCGTCCTCGTCTCATTCTTTATCTCATCAATTTTGTTCTTTTTCAGGTATATAATATAAATATACACTATTTATTTTCACATATACCATGATTGATTCATATATGTTACTAAATACAATGATCTAATTTCGTATATATGTGTCGTCGTTAATTTTGCAGAACGCGTTTCAACTGGCCTTCTTCTCATGGACAGTGGTAATTAAACACTCGTCATCCATTAAATCGTTTTTTGTTCGTGTCGTAGATCGATTTTACAAAATACGTATGCATTTATATATTTTTTCGTGAGTTTTGTGATGTATATGATCTTATTTTTTTAATTTATTGTGTAGTACGAATTTGGTCTGAACTCGTGTTTCCATGAACATGTGGAGGATGTGGTGATTAGAATCACAATGGGGTGAGTCTATAATCCTTACATTTATATTTTAACTATGGTTTAATTGGCTAAATTCTATTTAATAGCAAAAATGTATACTTAGATTATCAAGAAATGTCAATTTTTGCTTTTGTTAACATTTTAATTAAAAGTAAACATATACTTATTAATGTTTAAATCAGAATTAGTAAACTAACATACGCAGATCATGTGGTAATTAACAATTAGCTATTTTTCTTGTGTGACCGTTGCAGGGTTCTTGTACAAATACTTTGCAGTTATGTAACACTCCCATTATATGCTCTCGTGACTCAGGTACATGACTTAAATATATAATGACAAAATTCAATTAATTTCAAATGATCAATCTAATTTCTACATATGTATATTGGATTAATTTTCAGCTAATGTAAACGAATCTACTATATATTTACTATATATATGTTCATTACATAAATATATATTGGGAGTATATTTGTTCGGGATTTTGAGTGAAATTTTAAGATTTACTGATTTTGTTTATGTGCTTTTTTTTTATCTTTGAAATCCCAAACAGTTTTAAAAAGTTCAGTCAAATCCAAACTGCTAAATAAATTGAATACCTAATGATTAGATGAGACTTTTTAAAATTTTTAGATAATACCTCATGATTTTATAAGAAATTGTGAAACTCAAAATGAATACCTTGTGACTTGTTAAGACTTTTTAGAACATCAAAGGAATTCACTCGGATCCTTAAAATCTTAAAAGGTCTTTCAGCATATCCAAAACGAATATACTCCAAAAATTTTGCATGAATATCAATTTTAATTGTTTTATGTAGATGGGGTCCACGATGAAGCCGACGATATTCAACGAGCGGGTGGCGACGGCCCTAAAAAACTGGCACCACACGGCCAAGAAACACGTAAAAGAGGTTAACAAGCACCAGCAGCTGTCGGCCCCAGGGACCCCCATGTCGGGAACCCCGCGGTCCCACGGCATGTCCCCAGTGCACCTCCTCCGCAACCACCGGGGGGAGGCCGACAGTTTCCAGGTCTCCCCACGTAGGTCCAATTTCTTCGTCGAGACTGACCAGGCGTGGGACTCCGAGTCCCCATCCCCCACCACCCGTTTCCATGATCATCCCGACTTGGATCAGGAGGATGCCTTCCGCCGCCACCCGGACAATGATGACGAGTCGGGATCGGCCCGGGTGGCACCAGCACCGGTTCAACAACTCGAGATCAACGTCGTGAGCTCCACAGACTTCTCGTTCGATGGGCAGCTCCGGAAGTAGGGGTCGCGATTGAAATAGTTTGGGAAATTGAAAGTGATGAGAAGTAAAATTGAGTGTAAGAAGTGTGTATTGATTTTGTAAATCATATAGACATTGTGCACTTGGGGGAGATCAAAAAGAGATCATGAAATGTAATGTTGCTTAACTAGTTGAATATAAATGAGTACGGCTAAGTAAGCCTTCTAAGTTCAAATATGAGAGAGCTTTCCATGGTAGAGTGGAAATTGGAGACATTATACATTTATACTAATGAAGAGGCAAGAAAATCAAATAGCAAACATTTTAGATAAATTTTAGTATGCAAGTCATAAATCACTTGCATAAACAAATCATAGCCATTGTGACAAAACCACGTACGAGTCAAATTGTTACCACGCCTAAGAAATAGATCCAACTGATATGAGAGAGAGAGAGAGAGAGCGAGAGAGAGAGAGAGTCTAATCTTAGACATGAGTGGAGATCCGATTGCTCTGCATTGGATTGATTATGACTATTTTTACTTAATTTTTTCCATGTCGTTCAAACTTATCGCAAATACTTAGGTGCGCCTTGGTACACCTACCAAGGTGTGCCAAGGCATTTTTAAAATGAATATGTTATATTATAAAATGAACATGTGTAAAAATGCCTTGGCACACCTTGCTAGTTGTGCCAAGACGCACGGTAGTAGCACTGCAAACTTATAGTACATTTCCATACTACACAAGCATAATTATAAATAAATCATTGTCATATGGACTCACTTTGACATTCTTTTAGACCAAAACATACAAAGATGAAAATATATTGAAAATTATATGAATATATCAAAAGTAGTCCCACAACTATCAGGTATTCCGCTTTTGGTCCCAATGGAATGGTCTTTCCCAAAACTGGTCCACTAACTTTTTAAAATCCATCAAAAGCAGGACAATTGTGGTCCCCGATGCCTTTTCCGGCCCGGAGCTGTCGACGTGGCTTCACAATATCACACCTGGCCGATCAATTAACAGCGTGGCCGATGACATGGCTACTAAATCCTCCTTGGCAGATGACGAGGCACAGGGGGCGGGAAAACACAATATAATTGGGGAAAATGTCCCAAAATTGACAAAATGTTCTTCATTTTTCTTCTCGCCCGCAAAAAGCCCTAGTTCCTTAATTCGTGACGCGAAAATCGCACACCCTGAAAATCTGCCAAAGAAGATTATATACCATTGAAGACGCACGTGTTAAAGGCTTTCAGAAATGGGTTTCATGAGACCAAAAATGCACATAAATTTGCCTCCTCCGATGTATCGTGAGTTTTTTCTTTCTTTTTACTGTTTTATAGCAAAATCGAATCTTGGCATGTGATAGTCTGTATTTGGAAGTAAATGGTTTGTGGTGTGTTTGTCATGTTGTATTTCAATGAATTATATTTAATGGTGACAGAGAGGACCACATGTTTGTGAAAGTTTATACATGTTTATTTCTTTATTGTTGTGTCTATTTGTACTTACTCTATTTTTTGTTCTTTGTGTTTTGATTATAATATTTCAGATCCTGATTCAGATAGTTTCTCATTAGTTGTGCATTGGGGTGGGAAGTTTATTCATACTCTTACAGCAAAATATGAAGGGGGGCAGAGGTTTATATGTGATTATACTTCCCAAGATGAAATGAAGTTTGCATATTTGAATAAGTGGTATGAACAAACAGGTGTTATTGGGGGTAAAAGGTATTACATTTATGATGAAGATGGTTTTAAGTTATTGTCTGTTGAAGCTGACCTGCAAAAAATGTGCACTTCAAGCTATTAAAAGCAGAGAGTTGATTATATATGTTGATGTGGAAGTTGAAACTCCTGTTGTACCCAATCCTAATCCAGAAAAACAATTAGGCAGTAAGTGGGTACCAATTGAGGAAGCCTACAAAACAGTTAGGAAATTTGTGGGGGTTAGTGACTGTGAGTCTGACTCTACTTCACTGCATGATTCTGACTATGATATGAGTAATGAAGTTAGTGAAGATGATGAAATATGGTCAGAATATGTTGATGTGAGTAATGTAGATGCTGCAGATACTGATGATGATGTGGTCCATGGTAGTAATGTTGATGTGTCTGAGAGTAATATTCATGTGCAAAAAGGAAGTGTAGATGTGAGTAATATTGATGTTGCAGATAGTGTTTCTGAGGATGATGATGTAGTTCATGAAGTGCTTCATTTTGATGAGAGAAGAGTGTCTGATGATGAATGTGAGTCTAATGATCCTGTGTTCAACCCTGCCATGATTTTTAAACCAACATTTGAGTTAGGAATGGTGTTTGCTACTAAGGCAGAGTTCAAAAAGGCAGTACAATCTCATGCTATTAGAAGTAAAAGAAGCTTACACTTTACAAGAAATGACAACAGAAGAATTTATTCACAGTGTAAAGCTGAGGGATGCAAGTGGAGAATGAATGCACTGAAAAAAGCAGATGAAACATCTTACAAGCTTTCAACCTATGTACCTACCCATACTTGTCCTCCTGAATTTAATGTGAAGAATGTGAAAAGTAAATGGCTTAGTGAAAAGTTCATTGGGAATTTTGAGGTTGATCCAAAGAGAAGCATAAAAGGGTGGAGGACAGAGGTGATAAAAAAACTGGGGGTAGATGTCTCTAACCAACAGGCATACAGGGCAAAGAAGAGAGCACTTGTAGTGATAGAGGGTGATCCAACTGTGCAATACACTAAGCTATGGGATTATGCAGAAGAGGTTAGGAAAACAAACCCTTGAAGCACAGTGATCTTAGACACTGAGTCTGAAAATGGTGAACTTAGGTTTAGCAAATTCTATTGCTGTTTTGGTGCTTTGAAAGAAGGTTTCAAGGGGGGTTGCAGGCCTATAATTGGGGTAGATGGGTGTCACCTGAAGGGTCCTAATGGGGGTATTTTGTTAACTGCAGTAGGAGTTGACCCCAACAACAATCTCTACCCCATAGCATATGCCATAGTGAGAGGGGAAACAAGAGAGACTTGGTCATGGTTTCTAACTGTGCTAAAGTCAGACCTTGAGATTGAAAAAGAAGAGGAGATGACATTCATGAGTGACAAACAGAAGGGTCTTATTCAAGCTTTTAAAGAAGTTTTCCCATCTAGCCCCCATAGATTCTGTGTTAGACACCTCCACAGTAATTTCAAAAATGCTGGTTTCAGGGGTCTTAGTTTTAAGACTGCCCTATGGAGGGCAGCTCAAGCAACAACAGAAGGGGAATTCAAATTGAGGATGATGGAAATGAAAGAATTAAGTCAAGAGGCCTGGGAATGGTTCCATGATAAACCACCCTCTGAGTGGTCTAAGTCACATTTCACTGAATTTCCTAAATGTGATATGGTGCTTAACAATGTTTGTGAGTCTTTCAATTCAAACATTTTGGATGCAAGAGAGAAACCTATAATCACTATGCTAGAATGGATAAGAGAGTATTTGATGAGGAGGCTACAACAAAACAGGGACAAAGTAGTTGCAAAGTGGCAAGGCAAGTTGTGCCCCAAAATTCAACAGATTTATGAGAAGCATTTGGAGAAGGTGTCTGATTGCATCTCCATAAAGGCAGATGGCAACAACTACCAAATCACATGTTCACATGGAGATCAGTATTCTGTGGCTCTTGACAAGATGAAATGCAGTTGTAGAGCATGGGGATTGAGTGGTATACCATGTTCACATGCCATGAGAGCCATTCTCCACCAAAAAAGGGATCCACGGGACTATGTAGACCATTGCTACTCAGTTGAGGTTTATAAAAAAGTTTATGGACCAGCCATAATGCCTTTGAGTGGTGAATCTTTATGGGGGAAAAGTTTGTACATCTCTCTTTTGCCACCAAATTTTGGAAGAGGCAGAGGCAGACCAAGTTCTCTTAGAAGGAGAGAACCTGATGAGGCAAACCCTAAAAGAAAGAAGTCATCAAGTGATCCCCACAGACTGAAGAGGCAACAAAGCACACTGAGATGTAGGAAGTGCCATGAACCAGGTCATAATGCATTGACTTGTAAAAATCCAGCCATGAAAAGGGTAAGTTAATGTTTTCATTATTTTTAATATTATATATTTGTTAAGTGCTTGTATGTGTAACACTGTGATTATGTGTATATACATGTTAAGAAAGGAAAACAAAGTGAAGGCCAAACCCATTCCAATGAAGCACCAATTGGGAATCCACAATCTGAATTTAGGGAGAAACTAAAGGTAATATATTCTCACCATTTTCTTGTTAGTTTGTACTTGCACTTATAAAATGTGAACTTTTAAATGTGTTTATATAAGTCACCAAAGGAAATGGAAGTGGTAATCAAACTCATACAAATGCAAATCCTACAGTTCTACCTCCCAATCTAGATGATGTGATGTTTAGTCAAATTTCTGATGAGGATTTGGTTGCAGCCATTGAAAGCCAGGCTGATAGCACATTGTATCAGCACATGCAGCCCCATAAGACAGACCCTACTCCATTTCAACAGTTGAAGATGTCCTCAGTTTCAGCCCCAAACCCCCTTCAAACAAGGATCAACATTAGAGCACCCCCACTAATAATAGGTGGATATACACTGCCAGTATTCAGTTCACAACCAACCAGCTCAAAGTCCATTGTTATTGATGGTGGCCAAAAGTTCATGGACCTTTCTCAAAATTCAGTTTGTGTGCAGAAAGGAAAGAAAAAGAAGCAGTAACAATGGAAGTCTGTGTGCTTGATGTTTTGGAAGTGTTATTGGTCTGATTAAGTTGTTTTGTAAGTGCTTTTGGGTTATAAGTGTTGGAAGTGTTGGACAATAACATATTTTTTGAAGTGTTTGTTGTTTTGAAACTGTATTTGGGAGTGTTTGTTGTCTCTGTTAGTTTGTGACTACAAGTTTAAGTTGTTTTGATGATAAATATGGGGTGTGTTTGCTGTTTAGAACTGTGATTAAACAGCTTTTGTAATGACACTTCTGTTTTATATATAATTCAGTTTATGTTTTGTTGATAAGCATGTACTTTACTTATGTTGTAGA